CACTATACATATAGAACTGATTTGATTATTATTAGTATTGACTTCTTTTATTATTTATTGATAAAATTCATTGCAGCTTAGTTTACATCTTCAGAAAAATTAGATTCAAAATATCCACCATCACTACCATCTGAAGTATTTGCACTGGTTTTATCGCTTTATCAACTCTTTTAAAAATTAACTATTTCAACACTTGTTATTGTCTAGTTGTGTTATGGCTATAATCAAAAATAAATAAAAAAGACTCTTTTTGTCACTGGTAAGTCAATATGGTTGATTATGCTGAAAATTTAACATAAGTTGAAAATCTTGGAAATAAAAAGTAGGAAATATCAATATACAAAATTTTACATTGAATACTAAATTTTGAAAAAACAAATCACAAATATTGTTTAAATACTAAATGAAACAATAAGTTTTAAGATGGCATTAACTTATTTCATATTATTAAGCAAGCTTTTGCGAAGTTTTACATTATTAGGAAATATGTAAAAAGGTATTTTTAATAATTTTGGAATCATTGCCTGTATACTTGAAGTTATTTAGTAAAATAAATTTTAGTGTTAAACAACCAAGAAAAGAATAAAAGTTCATTAACTACTTATTAATATTTTTACAATTACCATTGTAGAGTAGAGGTATCAAAAAATTCAGGGACAGCATACAATTTACACAGCATTATAATTTTATAGACTTTACAATTAGAATACTTATTCTAAAATTGACAGACTACTGGTATGGTTAGCTTGTTACCATCATATTGCTTTGTTATATTGAAGGGTATTTTATGTCTTTACTATGTTTAAAATATGGTGTTTTTAAAGTCCTAGTATAAAGTATTAAAATTAATATGTATATATATATATATATATATATATATATATATATATATATATATATATATATATATATATACATATATATATATATATATATATATATATATATATATATATATACATATATATATATATATATATATATATATATATATATATATATATATATATATATACATATATATATATACAATATGTATATATATATATATATATATATATATATATACATATATATATATATACAATATGTATATATATATATATATATATATATATATATATATATATATATACACATATTAAACCATGCTTTAAGTTCAGGTTGTTGAAAAAATAATATTTTTAATAAGTTTAGAATTTTTCATGCTGACTCAATCTATAGCATTTTCTGAAATTACCTCAGAATTGCAAGATATACCTGAGCTGTTTATTTTTGGACTTTTTTAAATGGTTTGAAGATTATGAAACTTTTATGCATAACTGTAGTTAAAATATTTGATGTCAGTCAACAAATAATGCATGCTGTGACACAACCTATTTATAAATTCCCAGAGAGTAGTTGACTTATGCCTTACAACGACGCAGGTCGGATCCCTCAATATAAACAGGTGTTGCCGAATTTTTGACCGAATATTCATGGCGTTTCTATTTTAAAGTACAAGATATAAATAAAGTTTAGTTTCCACCCATTTTTAAATTTTTTTATTAAGTTGTTATATGAAAAGCCATCTTGCCCTGTTTTCCATATTGTCCAGCTTTCCCCTAAATTATCAAAGTATTATATCAAATTAAAATTATTTTTTAGATTCCTTTTGTAAATCAAACAGGAAACGAAGAGTTTAAAAAGTTTCAAGATCGAGTTATTGTTGCAATGAAGAAACCTCCATTCTTTATTGATGGCTTAGATTCAATAAATAAATCAGCTGTAATATTTTAGACTTTTTATAAAAAATAAACATAATAGCATAGGCACTTTAACCTTTAAAAGAAATTTTTTTTTAGATACCTACTAGACCTCCTGAAGAAGCTCAAAGATTATATGATGCAGTAAAACTTTATGCCTATGGTCTTACTGAAGCCATAAAAAATAATGAAGACACTCGAAATGGAGTTGCTATTATCAATCATTTAAAAGGAAAAACGTTTCAAAGTAAGTTTCAGTATTTCTAATTTTGAATATCTTTTATTTTAGTTGCAAGTTGCAAAATCAATTTATTTTGTAGGTGTAACTGGCTCTAGTAATAGAATTTATTTTGTATGTGTAACTGGCTCTAGTAATAGAATTTATTTTGTAGGTGTAACTGGCTCTAGTAATAAAATTTTTTTTTGTAGGTGTAACTGGCTCTAGTAATAGAATTTATTTTGTAGGTGTAACTGGCTCTAGATTTGTTGTCAACTCAAATGCTGATACACAAGTATACTTTAATGTTTTGCAATTTCAATATGATGACATTGAAACTGAACTAATGATTCTTCAAGATGAGAACAAAAAAAGAGAAGGGGATGTTATGTTGAGTAAGTAAATTCATTCATCCATTCCATCCTTTTATTCACCAATATGGTTCATCCATTCATATATCCTTTCTTTTCATTCATTTTTTGTTTCCTTTTATTTACCTGTTTATTTTTTATCTATTTGTTTGATTGTCTAATTGAGTGTTTCAGTGGTTGAAGCCCCTAGTTCCTAGCTCTGTAGGAACCACAACAAGTTCCCTAGGGGCTACAAAATGTCCCTTAAGGACCATGACAAATTACCTAGAGACCACAACATAGACACAAAAAGCACAAAAGTTTATATAAGTATAATGAAATGTTTTTCTTTCACTATTTAGGGGTTGAAGTAGGTGCCAGATATTAATGTCCACTGTTCCATATTTGAGATCCATCTGAGTCATCTAAGTTCATATTTGAGATCTGTCTGAGAGAGCAACCAACTATTGTTCATTTTTTCTAAAAAAAAATTAAAAAAAGCAATCAATAGTTGATTTCAAGAAGCACCAATACCCAATGGATATTGGTGCCCCTTGGACCAATAATCCAAGGGGCATCAATGTCCAGATTTTTTAATTTCAATTTAGTATTGAAATTAAAAAGTTTGTTTTAAAATAAATTTAGTATAAATAAGTACAATAGTTTTATTATTAGTTGTTTCATTTATATTTAATATAAATATCTACAAATTTCATTGGCAGTTATTTATATTTAATATTATTTACTATAAATTTGATTGGTAGTCATTTATATTTGATATAAATTACTTCAAGTTCTATTAGTAGTCATTTACATTTCATTTAAATTACTACAAATTTTATTGGAAGTCATATTTGATAAAAATTACTACAAATTTTGTATTTGTTGTAAAATGTTAATTTGTATTTATATTTATATTTGAGTAACACTCAATTAGTCACTTAAGTATATAACAAATCACTTAAATGAGTCTTTACATTTAAGTGACTAAAATGATTTAACCATTTTGCTTTAAAAATAGATTTAAAATATTGGTCAGCTAAGAATCCTCAGTTTAATCTCACCAATAATCAGTGTTTCTAGTTTCTTTAAAAATAGTATTGATTTCTATAATTTATTAATGGAGTCTACAAGCCATCACAAATGCTTTTAAGAAACTGTCACAGGAATTGTTGGTTTATGTGTTTTTGTCTATTCATTTATCCATTTGTTTCTTCTGTTTATTTACATATTGCTATTTTTATTTCTTTGTTTATTTTCATCCATTTTATTAATTTATCTGTAAGATGCACATTTCTTCTAACTTTGCTCAGAATGAAGTTGAGGGTTTTATATCATATTTTTTCTTTTCTAGGCAGATTGCTTTTATCTCAGCTAAGAAACTTCACTTGCCCTTGTGTGAATACACTCTCATCATTTGTACATGGTGTATTTTTGTATTTGGTTTTCCCTGGTTTCCAAATTTGTTAAATTCAAAAATTTTTTGATGGATTTGTTGAAATTCAAAATTAAACTTTCATCAACAAAAAAATTTTATTTCAACTTTCAATAGTTTCTGAATGACATTTCATTAACTGTGGCTGTGGTTTGCTTAGATAGCAAAAATTTGTTTATCAAACAAGAAATTTTGCACTTGAGAACTTAAAAAAATCTTGGTATCATATTACAGAGATTAACTATTTTAACTATTAGTTAATCATTTAACCAATCAAATTACACCTAAATTAAGTAAAATTAAAGTGTTCCAAAAAGTTTTTTTTTATGAAAAACACTTGGAATTGTGTAACTAGTTCTACTTATGTAGAGAAAAGAAATTTTTGTATTTATAAAAATTTGTTTATAAAAAATCTGATTTTACTTCATTAAAGTGATCTCTTTTTCTTCATAAATTATCATTATCAAGTTTATTTTTTTCTGTAACCAATGTTCTCATACAGGTGACTGATGGAGTCCCTAGTTCCTCAGTCATTTGACTGGTTTTTTTAAATTATTCAAGAAAAGATAAGTAAGAACACGTCCTAAAGAATAAACTATGCCAACACCCATTTTTTTGTAAATTTGTTATTTCAAATAAAAAAGTTCTTTAAAAAATAAAAATTCTTTTTGTTTTATCTTTGTATTTTATTTCTTTTTGTTTCTCCAATCATAATTTTCATATTAATAAAATATTTAGAATGGCATCCAAAAAAAATTTACTCAATATATCCTAACTGTAGCAATCGCAACTGTTCCTCATTTACTCTGGAAAGGAGTCCATCAAATCCAGAACCCAAGTGGATTATTGGCCATATACCACACGATGAACCAAAATGTGGTTTCCACAATGAAAAATGTCAAGTTAAAGATTCAAAAAGTAGATATTTTTGATTTGCTGATGATGATAATGCTGATGATTGATGATAATGATGATTATGATGATGATAATGATGATGATGATAATAATGATGATAGTGATGATGATGATGATGATGATGATGATGATAATGATGATAGTGATGATGATGATGATGATGATGATGATGATGATGATGATGATGATGATGATGATGATGATGATGATGATAGTGATGATGATGATAGTGATGATGATGATGATAATGATGGTGATGATGATGATGATGATGATGATGATGATGATAATGATGATAATAATGATAATAATGGTCATCATCGTGATCATGTCACAAT